TGTCCTTTAATTACTCACTTTTCCCCCTACATATCAGGGCTAGTAAAATAGCTTATACACACACTATCTTTCTATTTCACATGCAAAAAACAAAAATCATTTTCTTGACTCCTTATATATTTTCCCATGCACTTTCTTTCCCATCACCCACCAGTATCTAGACCTGTCATATACACAATATTTATGCTTTATTTTTTGTACTTCTTTTGCCTGGTGCCAAGCTCAATCCAGGAAGACCTGGTAGCTCCCTGATGAGCACAGCACCATGTCAAGCCTAAAAGAAAAAGAAGAATCTTCTCTGTGGTTTCTTGCATGCTCCCTTTGTCCACATTCATGTTTCTTTCAGAGTGGACTCTCTTCTAAGGGTTCCATGTTAAATCTTGATCTCTCTGGTCTCTTTCACACAAGTGCAAGATCAAGTGATCTGCCCTTGTGTCTGTCCCTTAAACATTGGCTGACTGTGGCAGAAGTAATAACTGATATATTTTTACAGGCAAGCTAGATCTTCTGTTACCAGCTGTTCTGCAGTGCAAAACAGTGTTTCCCATTCAGTTTTACTAGAACATTTCCCTATAACCTTTTTGGTTAAAAACACCTTAGTTTCTGGATGTCGTCCAGTAACAGCACATGTTGGAGGAATGGCTCAATGCTGGGTCCCAGTTAAACAGATTTGCTCAACTTTGTCACCAAAAAATCTTCAATTGTAACTCACATTCAATTTTTTACCAAACAAAACCATTGTAGGAATGTAACAAATAAATTACCGTAGGTGAATGTACTTTGTTTCAGACATACAGATGTGGTTGCAAGGTTACATCAGATGAAAACTACTGCCCAGAAGCCTTTGTTTAAAGGAACTTCATAATTTAAAATGTGATGATGTGCCATGTAACAGTTCAATACATGAAGATACAATGGAAAACTAAAGCATCTTTAGGCACAAAGCACTAAAGCATCTGTGACACAAAGCTGCAAAAGATCCCATTTAATTTAAATAATAATAAAGTGCATCATATCTAGAAAGATAAAAAAAGGGACTAAAAATTGCCAGCTCAGCTATCGCTTCCAAAGCATGTGCTTGCTGGTCAGAACAAATCAGGTATGGAAGGTATATAGTTTTGATATTGCTCCAGACTGCCCCAGCATTCCTCTCTCTGCATGTACAAGTGGAATGTACAAGGGGAAAAGCTTTCAGGAAGAAAGTAAAGCAGAGCTCTTCTTTAAAAGATGTTTTATCTTCCACTCTCCTAAAATAAGAAAAGATACACAGCTCTCTGGATCTACATCCTTACTATCTATCCTGTCACCTGTGAAACACATTTTACTGCATTGCTCACTTTTTTCTTCAAGTGCTGGTAGCACTGTACGCAGACTGCACAGTGCCTGCTCCTGGCAATCACTCACTAAGCATTAAGGTGGATCCCCAGGCACCATGATACCTTGCACAAACTCAGGCTGCTACTCCTTATCCTGAAATTGTCCTTACCTGGTAGCAGGTCTCAGTTTTGGCTTCGAACTACACCAAGCAGTTCTCCCTCTGGTCACTCACAGTTAGACTATCATCTCCAAAGCAGTTGATTTGATTTTCTTTCCTTTAGCCAACAGTGCATGGATAGATGTGAGAAACAAGAATAATCTATTGCTCCATATTACCCTAATCAAGAACGAGAGCAAGTCATAAAGGCTTCCCAAATAACCAGTAATAACATTGTTGGTAATCTCAAGAACAAGCATTTTTAATTTTTTTAAATATCTTTTTTTCCTTTTTTTACAGAAATCACCTAAAGGCAATTTACCTGCTCTGAGTAAAACTGTTTGGCACCAATGTTAGCTAGAATACATGTCTTTTAGGAATATCTTTATTGAATCAGCAGCCTGCAGTATAGATTACATCATTGGATCTCTGCCTACATGGCTAAGCTCTCCAATAAGACTAGGTTAATACTGAACCAGCAAGGACGCTTTCAATTTATCTTTAAAGTCCCTACAAATAGAAGACATCTGTTGAATAATAAAGTGAATGGAAAATAAAGATTTAAAATGACAGTTTGTAGGGTGAAGTTAATATATGTGCTGCCTTACATCTTAATAGCCATTATTTCTTTTATTAAAATATAGAACTGCTAAGTAAGGTTCTGAAATTTGAGATAAAAGACTTGAAAACAAAACAAAACAAAAAAGGAAAAGAAAAGGGGAAAAAAAAGGGATCACACAAATCCCCTGGTTATGTTAATTTTCCTAGATGTAAGCATTGCAAAGCTTTTGCTTTTCCTTGCTTTAGTGTAATTCTGGTATGAAGGAGACCAGAGGAAGAAATGAAGTAATAATATTTAGAACACTTTTAACTTACAGCGACAGGCAAATGGAAACAATTTGAAGTAGGCCTGGAAACTTATTCACTAAAATATTCTAGTTCAGCAGTTTTGTGTGGCAGCGAAATCATAAAACTGTAATAGAAAAATCATATATTAGCTCAAAAAGTTTCAATTCTGTAGCAACACATACTGCAAATGGGGAGACCCAAGAAAAAGAAAAATAGGAAATTGAGAGTGAGTCATGACAAGTAATCTTATTAATCAAGTGAACACATGTTGATGGAAGAAAATTTAAATTATTCTAAGAAATTAATGAATTAAAAATGGATTACACATTACTTACAGATGTACAACAGATATTCAGTGATATTCAGTAATTTTAAATAGTTAGACTTAGTGAAACATCTCATTTTGCTGCATTTTAGGACCACAATTATCACTACTTAACATCATGGCTAATTTTTGTGTGTATCTAACACAGAGATTTTTTTCTCCTGATTTGGTTATCTTTTAAAAATACAGCAGAAACCTAAATCTTCTCCTCTGTCAGTGACTCATCAATTTCTAACCCCTGTTTTTTCCCACAAATTTTAACTGATTTCAAGTTGCAGGAAAATACGATACAGACTACACGTGTGGGGGGTTTTTTGTGCCCTAAAGCTGGCATCATTTTTTGGAGCAAAACGTTTGATGTAGGAAACTACATCTTAAGTAATTGTAGTGACTAGTTAAGACATCAAAAGAAGTTTAAATTGTTTATTTCCCTCTGATTAAAAAAAAAGTGGTTTTTAATTCATGCTGCTTCAACTCTCCAGTTACAGAGAATGTGCAATACACTCCTAGGAGTCATTTTATCAGCATAGTAATTTTTGGGACGAATCTTGAACTATTATCAAGCACACCGTAGAGCAAAGGCTCCAGAAGGCAGTTTTGTGCACAGCTGGCATTTGCAGAGTGCAGAAGGTGCCTCTCTCTGCACTGCTCTTTGGGAACACCATTCGGCACCTTTTCCCCCAACATGTTCCATGATACGGTAGGACTCAAGTACATGATGCAGGTCCATGAGCCCCATGAGGTTTTGCCCCTTCCTTCAAAGCCCTTGGAGTGAAAACAGAGGGAAGCCATGTCAGACCAGGGTCTTTTCACCTGGGGACAGTGAGAAACATGATCTGCACAAGACAACCTGCCACCCCCTCAATGAATCCCCAGTTTGAGACCCTCCTTTCATTCCTTCCTGATTAAAATGGCCCTTTTGCTTCTTAAGAGCAGCTGGTGGCAGCAAGCACAGCTCTTCTGTGCTTGTTTGAGCTGCCAGCTCATCGTTCCATGGCAGGCCGTGGGCAGCACAGGTGGCAGCACAGGGGTGACTTGGGCACAAGGTGCCAACTCCCGTGGTTGAGCCTCACACCTCTCCCTGGCCTTCTGCCTTTCTTCAGCTTGAGAGCCAGTACCCTGATGCAGGGTACACTCATCAAGTCCCAGAGAGCCCAACATGATGTTTTTCCTTCATCCAGGAGATGCAAATGCTCTGTTAAATCAAACCCCGCGACTGGGAAAACATGCCATGATGCAGTGGTTTGGGGATTTCTGAGGTTTCTGAGTAGCGAATGCTGAGATTTTTTTTTTTTTTAAGAATGGTTGTGTCTGAAGTATGAGCTGTTCACAACCCACTTCCCAACAATGTAGCCAGGAAAATTATTCCCAGGGGAAGGAGGTTTGGGGAAGAATCGATTGTTATGTTCTATTGTGAATTCACTTGTCACGCATTTACAAAGGGACATTATACACATAGAAATTTCATTTTACAATCAAGATTATGATTCAGATTAGAACAGCAAACAGTTGATCAACACAGATATTCCCATCTTAATCTATACATACATAACATTACTCTAACACTTTTGTGCTTTTTTTTTTTTCTTTTAATATGATCTCCTTAAAAGGCATATTATTCCTTAGACAAACTAGCACAAGTTCTCAAGTTATCTCAGGATAGTTATTTCAAAAGAAAATGCAATATTTCATAATAAACATTTATAATCAGGTTTTTAACAAAGTAATTCATCATATAAACAAATGAATCAGTCAAGACACTAAATAAATATTTGTACTGGTAAATGCTAGCATTTTGCTTATATCGTGTAGGACCTGATCCTGCAAGCCCTCTGTATACATCTTTATCCCCACTGAATGATTGGTTTCATTGCTTGTTCTAATCTACTATTTTACTTTGAGCTGAGCAAATACTTTCTGGCCACTAAGTTAAGTAATTGAAATAAACACTGGAATACATCCCAGCCGACAATGATTTCCTTAGATATTTTTCTAAGTCCTTAGGTTTTTTCTTGTTTATGAAATCATCACAAATATTTATCAACAGGCAATCAGTTTTTGATATTTACAATCTGAGTTGCATTGGTTAATTGAGATTTTTAAAATATATCAGGTTCCTTATTCTTGGCTTTTTTAAGGAAAAAAGCATGACTTTTGCACTCAGTTTGAAGAGCAATTTCCAAGAATTATAATATAAATTGAAAGTGAATTTTTCTTTTGTCATACATATGAGCTAACAATGCTAGGCTAGGAAGGCAAGAGCCTCCAGGAAAATAACAGCCCAGGAATTCTGCTTGAGGAGGGCTGGTACAAACATGAATTACAGTCTCTGTTCTTGCCTACAACAATTACTATCTTGTCCAGGGCAAAGAAATGGCCTTTCTTAGAGCACACTATGGCCAGTCTTTTAATTCTGAATTTACTCAGTCCTTGTCAAGGTTGCCTTTTTCTTTGCATGGTAAGTCCAGAACAGAGAGCCACAGATAACAGACATTAACTGACCTACATACCCTCTTCAAACCTTAGGGAATAACCTGGATTCCTCCCACAAACCGATGTGCCAGTGAATTCCAATCACTTAGTTATTTTGCGGGGTTTGGGGGGTTTTTTGGTTGGCTTTCTTTTTTAAGGAAACACAGAAGCAGTCAGTTACAGCTAAAAACTCACCACTTTTTCTTGCCCAGCTCAGTTTGAAATAGTTTGAAATCAAGGGTACTGAGTTTATTGATGTACCCACTGTAATAACTTAAGTTTAGCTGAATTCTGATGGTTTCCTGAATGTCTCTAAGCTCTTACCACAGTATAGCATGAAATGCTCCAAACATCTGGCAAAAGAAACCCAATGATTGTAGCAAATCACTGCCTGAACTGAAAAGTGGAACATTGAAATTACTCTCTCTATATATCTATATATATAGGGATATACACACACGCACACATACACACATATATCCCTATATAAACATTTCTTTAAAATACAGAAATTAATTTTATTATTTCTCCTGTTGGTATTAAATACTTGACTTCATGAATCCACATTATGGCAACTTCAGGCGGTTTGGAGAAATAAATCTGAAAACAGTCTTACAACCTCCACTAATATAAATATATTGGCAAGGAACTTTGACCAGCAATAGTAAATTTTGAAACTTAAATAACTATTCTACAGTTACTCTAATTTTAACAACAAGTTGCTACTGAGTACCAATATTCATTAAAAATGTAAAACAAAAACTAGAGCTTTAACTTTTAACACTGAAGTGCAGCCTTATGAAAGGAATGTAAAAGCAAATGATGTATTAGAGACTCATTCTAAAAAGGGAAAGAACAACTTATCCTACGTGTTTCAAAGTAAGAACACTGTATGCTTGCACTTTATCATAAATGACCATGTTGAGTCATAGTTTCTTCTTGCCTGCAAATGAAGGATGTTGGCTCAAATAATCTTCAAAGTGTAGATGAGCATTTCATTAAATCCTGTTTGTTGTGAAAACAAAGTTCATTTACACTTTGACTGAATAACAATAAGGAGTTTGTTTTAATAATAAGACATTTAAGGACCTTGGTAGCCAGTACCAGTTGTATTTGCAAGTAGCTCCTCAGCTTTACTCTTTTTTTTTAAAAATAAACGTACAGTTATAGTTATTCATTTACTTTAAAAATTCTAAAGATGAAGAAAAGTAGCGTTTATACATATAAGTCCTCATATAAATTATAAAACTCAAGTTTATCTTAGAGAGTTCCATCCCCAGAAGAAGCATAAAGCACTTTTGTGGTACCTTCACCAGTAAATATTTGTATCACATCAAATCTGAGAAATGCAACAAAGATGATACTGAATCCAAAAACTGAAAGACAACATTCTTCTAACACAGTCCCTTGTGATGAATATGCTCCATGGGCTTGTGTGATTTCCATGACAAGACTGAATTTCAAATAAAGGAAATATGAAGGAATTCACCTCACCAGTTCACTAGGTATAAGAAACGTCAGTGAACAGCAGAGTCAGCCCATTTGAGGTCAACAGTCTTTGGAAGACTACAAGGAGGGAGTTTAAAACTACAACAGCAAAATCAAATAACAGCAATGAGGTAAACTCCCCTAAAAAGGCCAAATAGGCTGAGTTGTCAGGAGAGAGTCCAATTGTACCTGACACCCAAATGTTTCTGTAGCCAGAGTCCAGCGAGCTGCATGGTAGAGGCAAATGTACTTGCTTTGGACCCTAAGCACATTTTATATTGTTTCGGATCTAAGTTGGGGTCACACTGAACAGGATGAAAAATATGGACAACTCCTACTTCCTGACTTCTGAAAGCCTTCAAGCCAGATGTTATCACTTTAGTAAAGAGATCTACGTCCTCAAGTCCCCAGCCTTGAATCGAGGTATCAAATCCACCAGCAGTAAGTAGGTCACTTTTGTAAATACAGGTAATTCCAAATCCATACTCCCTCCAAAATCCAGTTCTTTTTGTGAAAACAAAACTACTGTCAGCTGGAGGGTTGCCTCCATATATTACTTTTGGATCGTATTGGCTGAAGATGATAGGGTAGTAAACCTGTTCTCCCTGAATAGTGTTATCTCTGCATCGCTGGAGGAAGTCTGATGTGAATACTAGATCAACATCACAGAACAGCAGCAAAGTGTCATTGTCAAAATGAGATGAGGCCATCTCAAGAGCCAGACCTCTAGAAAACTTTCCTGACATCGGAATCAGGGTTATATCTGCCTTGGGATACTTAATGCTGTATTCTTTCATTAGGTCTATGTGTTTGCCAGAGTCTGGGCCCGAATCAGAACTGAAGAGAATTATTGCCAACTTTACATTCTGCTTGGGAATCAGACAAGTCTTCTCAAAATTAACCATAAATCTTGAGAAAGTATCAAATCTCCCTGTGATAGGGACAAGAATATGTATTTTCTTGTCACTCTGTCCCCCAGTGTCTTTGGTGCCTTGGAATGACGAGGAAAAAATCTTTAAAGAATTTGAAAGGAAAGAGAAAGATTGAGTGTCACCGTTGGTGTCGTCCAGCAAGCTTTTTACATCCAGCTCCTCTGCTTCTTTGAAGAAAGGTTTGCTAAACAATTGCTGAAGGTAAGCATGGCGTCTCACTGGAACTGTAACTTTCCTTCCTTTATGCCTTTTGTACAAAAGCAGTAAATCCAGGATGTACTCTACTCCATGCAGAGGGTCTACCCTGCGGTACCCATACTGTATTTCCTTGAAATCAATGAGTCTTCCTCTGGATCTGGAGTTCTCATTTATCATTTCCATGACCTGCATCACAGTATCATCCAGTGCAGCCCGCAGGACGCTGCTCAGGCTCTGCCGGGGTGGCTGGTTCTCCACCATTGAGTAAAGAAACTTTCCTGTCAGGAACTCCCACTCGATGACTTCATCCCTTTCACGTGGCTGGAAGTTATTGAAAGATGGCACCACTCCCAGTTGCTGATCTTCCTTATTTATTTCAGTGTTACTGAGCTTGCTCATCAGGACACTTTCTCGATGGAGCTGGATGGTCCGATGGCGCAGTTCGGAAATTTTGCGACTCAGTATGTAATTGTGCAGCCTATACTGGTAGGCAGGTCTTTTGTTTGGATGAAGTGTTATGGCTGTGTGGATCTTGCTGTTGTGAAGATCTTGAATGTAACCCTTGCGGTTGTGTTCATAGTTTTCATGGAACAATTGCTGCATCTACAAAGAGAGAGAGAGGGGTGCAGGGGGAAAGAGACATTAAGTTGAATGTCTTCTACCCAGAAAAAGGACTCACATTGGTACTAGTATCATTACCTATTCTTATAGACCATGGTTATTTTTAGGCATAGAGTTTTAAAGCATTCAGTAGAAAATAGTTCCATTGTTTTGGTTTGAGTTTCAGTAGTGTCCACAGTAAGCAAATATTGTCCACTGTCTTAAGAAAAGGTAAATTATATTTGGTTTATCTTCACTTTGTTCGGCTGCAGAACTAAGGGAAATGCATAGGCATAGGTCTGTGGGTAATAGGAGTTCATAAGTGCTATGCATGAACCACTGACTTCACTTCCATCTAAACCCCAGTTAGCACAGATCCTTAATGGAAGGTTAGCAACATTCACAATTTTTTAAAGAGCACCCTGTATTTGTGTCTCTGGAGCAAAAAGTTGAGTGTACTGATATATGAAAATATTTAGTGCTGCTTAACATTCAAAAACGGAATGGCCTGAACAAAAAAAAAAATTTTTCATGTTGACAGAGAATTCAATAATTGAAATAAAACCATTTTAATATACATTTTGTAAGATACACATATAATAGAGTATGTCAATTAAGCAATTGATTGTGATAGTGATTTCCAATTTATTTCTATAGCAAGAAAAGACATTCTACTTCTGTCAAATTAGTAATTGTGATAGAGTGAAGAGATATGTTTCGTGGCTGACAAGTCTAGTATCCAAAATATCTGGCCTTGATACTTTCTGTGCTGACTAAACATATCATGAATCTATCTTTGACTCAGTTTTCTCTCTAGAAGACAACTTAGCTCATTATTAATGTGATGAGTATTTATTCTTAAATGGGAAATCATATGGACTAGTAAAATACTGATATCATAAATATATTTAAAACCTGCTGCTCTTTGCTAACACTGACTAACTCCAGAGAATTATTTCCCATGACTGGCAGACAAGGGAGAAAAGGCTCATTTTTTTAAAATCTGAAAACAGATTGGTCTGTAACTAATACATAAGGAAAATGTGCTAATTAGATAGAAAATGTTCAAGAATGTGTTTTAAACTTGAGCTGTAATCAGATTCTGACATGGGTATCGCAGTTTGTCTTTTATACACTGAAGAAATCAGGAGAGGTTAGTCCTGATTGCACAGTATATCTGACTCAAATAATTTAGCTCATTTTACTTCAATTCTTTCAAGAACAGAAGTTTTGACCCTGCAAGTAATATTAAGAATAGGGCAATAAAAGTAGAATAACTCCATAACTCCTAACTAACTCCTAATAACTCCTAAGATAAGAATCACGCAAACTATGTAATATTCATTAGCATGTACAAGGCATAAACATTGTCACATTTAGAAAAACAGAACTTCAATACAAAACTTCTAGACTGCCACTCCCATTTAATTCAAACCTCAAATGCCTCTGCTTGAGCAAACATGGCTGCTATTATCACTCAGTTTAAAATTTTTGAAGTTAGTCATATAGCATGTAGAAAAGCAACAGGCACATTCTGATAAATACCTTAAGCTATGTTAAATTTGCCTCTAATATTAAAAACAGGTACCTCTGTTATATTGAAGTGAAAATGAATGTGAAAAAACATACAATGTTACAACATTACTCATACATCCCTTATTCACAGAACCTACCTAAAGCTCTCTGAAAACATTTGTTCTGTCTTGAAATGCGGGTGGTTTGCTTGTTATTTGAGATGAGATGAGATGAGATGAGATGAGATGAGATGAGATGAGATGAGATGAGAGTTTGGCTCATTTCCTTGTAATACATAGAATAGGAACCAACATCATCAGGCCTGTTAGTGTTTTAACTAGCAGTGCTGAAAAAACTGAAATATGGCTTTCTTGAGAATTAGAGATAGTCACAGGCAGGACAGATGGATTAGAGATTGAAAGGGAAAAAAGTGTTTAGGAAAGAGCTGGGTGATAGCATTTGCTCTTTGGAAAAACTATTTTCTCTTCTCGCTCTACAATTTACATTTTGAATAAAGAAAAAAGAACAGCTGATCTAGCTAGATTTCCAGCTCTCCAGTTATAAGTTACACTTCCTTCCTGGTCTGTTTTACTTAAAATTGTATGCTGTGAGCTCTGCAAGGTGACACGCTATGCTTTTGCATTGTCCACTTTTCCTGCAAAAAGTTGAAGGCATGATTTTTACATCTAGAATTTCACAGCAAAGACCCCTTAAAGGAAAATTAGGAAAATGTGTGATGTTGAAAACAAAAGAAAGAAGGGCAGGTGGTTTGCGTGACTTTCTCTTCTAAGTTGTTTAATGAAGAATGCTATTTGAGTATAAACCAAACAACCATTAACTTTACCCATTTACAACTATTAACATTTAAAGTATGTGATTTTTCATAGTTAAGTACATGAAAGTTTTATGTAAAGTAGTAAAATGGATTTTATCCAGAAGATTTGCAACAGATGACATATTGCTGCAAAGCTAAATGCTGTCCTCCAATTGTGCAAATTCTTCTGTAACCCTTGACTTATTACAAAATCAGCTTTACAGAACATTCATTAGCATCACTTATTTAACAGAAATAAATTTATGTTGACATAAATACTGCATTTTTTACACATTCCAATTTCAGATGCCTGGGTTTATTTAATATGCTCCACTGAAAAAATGGAGAGAAGATATACTCCATTATAATACTGATTTTGGTTTTGATAATCAACAACAGATTAAAAGTAGCAATGAAAAGAAATTAAATCAACTCAGTAATGCAGTACTATCACACATACGCAAAACTTTACTAATCCATTTTCGGGTATGTTACTGAAAACTCTTAATAGATCCTCATTTAGAGAAAACAGAACAAACATGACACTGAAAGCGTCAACACTTTCTGAAGATAGTCTGCTTTAATCTTGGCACAGAAATTTGTTCTTAATGTTGCAAGAAAAAATTTCTTATTACAATTCAACTTATTAACATCTAAATGAAAGCAATTCAATTTGATCCTAAATTTGCTTTGAAATTTCTAGGCAAGATGGTCAAGCCCAGAAGGCAAAGGGAAGGATGATTAAATTTCCCGGAAAATGGATTTGTGTGAGAGTCTGAATTGAAAAATGTAGTTATAAATTATCGCGCAAAGGAAGTGGGTTTAGGAAGTGGCAAGATTTATTGACTATAAATTAAAATTATTCAGCATGGTAAGAGTAAACCTTCCTGCAAAAGTTTTCATGATTTTGAATAGCAAAGTAATAAAATGCTAGATTAAATTCTAGATAGATAAATGCAAAGTACATGAGAGGAACACAATCCTAACTCTGCCTGAAGAATGTAAAACTGTGTAAGCTGTTAGGACTCTGTCCTAACAGTACCAGTCCACACAGTATGCAATTCTGTGTAGGTGTCACACAGAGGTTCAGCAATGATGAAAAGAAAAGCAAATAGCATGAGGATAAGTCTAGAGTGAATCAGAAGCTTCATTACATGGTTGTGTCCATAGCACACCAGCACCTTGAGGACTGTGGCCAGGCACCTTGTCAGTACTGTCCCATCCGAAACTGATAACACAGAATTATAGAATGTTAAGGGTTGGTAGGGACCTTAAATATCATCTAGTTCCAACATCTCTGCCACGGGCAGAGATACCTTCCACTAAACCAGGTTGCTCAAAGTATTGTCCAACCTCGCCTTTAACAGTGTCCAGGTTGGGATATCCACAACCTCCCTTGGATAACCTGTTCACAGGAAAGAATTTCTTCCTAACCTGTAGCCTAAGTTTTTCCTCTTTTAGTTTGTACCTATTACTCTTTGTTCTTTCAATACAGTCCCTGAAGTGTTGCTCTCTGGCTTTTGTGTAGGCCTCCAGATAGTGGAAGGCTGCTGCGAGGTCTCCATGCAACTTTCTCTTCTCTGGAGTGAGCAGCCCCAACTTTCTCAGCCTTTGTACCTCTTATCAACTTCATGTCCTCCTCTGCACTTGCTCTAAGAGTCCCACATCCTTCCTGTGTTGGGGGCACCAGAACTGGCACTCCAGATGGGGTCTCACCAGAGCAGAGCAGAGGGGCAGAATCCCCTCCCTCCCCTGCTGCCCACGCTGCTCTGGATGCAGCCCAGGATCCCACTGGCTTTCTGGGCTGGGAGTGCCCATGGCCAGGTCGTGTTGAGTTTGCCATCAACCATCATGTAAGTACAAAGGTACCAACCAAGGCTACCCAATGATTACACATCTGGATCATTAAATAAACAGACAACTAAGGCAAAAGAGAGAAATCCAAAGAGGGCCAACTCTGAGATCGATGGAGTCAGAGTAAATGAGCGCCACAAGAAAAATTGATAGGAGTGGTACCACCTCTTCTCACATAAACAACTATGACACTTACAAGGATGCACTCAAAACTCAGAAACAGATCTTAGTGGCACAGCAAGCTGCTGAGGGTAAAATTTTGGATCACTTTAAAGAGTGAAGCAACAGCTTAGTGGGAAACTACAATCATTGCTATCCAGAACTCCTGTAGCTCCAGTTGAAGATATATCACAATATTACCTTATTGTCCTGTACCCCACCTCAGTTTCTTCTACCAATTACCCCAGAGAGAGAATATTTTGCCAACTGAACATTTACTTTGACATCATACAACCAATTTACGTTCACTGAAAGCAGCGAATGGGAGAATTTGTCTTCAATTCGATATAATACCTGGAGGTCCAACATTATCTGTTCACATTGCATGACTTTGTGACTTTTCTGAATAGTTTGCTGTCTTCTGAATGGTTCTTACAGCACAACTAATACAAGAGTTGGCATGGACTTCTGCTTGCCTTTTTCCATGCCAGCTGAAGCTAAAAGTTGGCAAGAAATACTAAAGATCTAATCATGCTCTGAGGAACTCTGAACTCCAAGCAGGAATTTAAAAAAATACACGAAAGAAATCAGAATAAAGGCAATGTTTTATTATTGTGGCAGAAAAATGCAATAGCTAACACAGAAGCGCAAAGTAATTTGC